GACTTCTGAACCAAGAATCACAATTTTAATAAAGTTGATGTTTTAGGACTGTATAATTATCAACAATATTAAGCTGCAAAAAGGTACAGTGTGCGTAGGATATTGTTCACAAGAATAACAGAAATAAACCGAAAGAGATTCACTATGACAGACCTCAGGTGGCAGGGTACAATCTCCTAAACTGGCCAGTGACAAATTTCTTAACTTAAGGATATGATGTGACTTTTTCAGCAATTATTGTTTACTAATTAAAGATATTGATATATTAGTGAACTAGTTGTTTCGGGCTTGTGTTGTTCTTGAAATTGATGTCAGGCATGTACATCATCCATAGTTACGCTGCAACATGTTGATAGTGAAATACCAATAGTTGTCTAGGAAGAAGAGTTAGCCTATCATAGCAGTAAACATGTGTGTTTGGGGCAAGAAGAAACCTAAAATTGGCATGGATGACATCCATTTTCAATTGCATCAGCCTGTTTAATACACAGTGTTTTGCAGAATTGTCATCTAGGAAATGGGTTTGTGTTTGCACTGTGAACATCACATTGTGTTAACAACGACCTTCGGACATGAAAATTGCAGTTATAAATTTGGGGTTGGGGTGCATAAACGTCTGCTATTAACTGCCACTGACTTCTCTGGTCAAGTGGATAATACTTTTATGCTTTGTTTTAATATAGGTATCTAACAATATGGACCTTCTTGACCTTACTTGTGTGTATTTGATTTTTATATGATTTTTTTTGTACCAGGCCACTGATTGCGGCATTAAATTTTTAAATAAAAAATGGCACCTGCCCACTCAAAAGGTACAGTGTGCGTGAGATGTTGTTCGCAAGGATAACATAAATAAACAGAAAGAAGTTTACTGTGACACACTTCAGCCTTACTTTCGTTTAACTATGCAGGTCTTTTTTCAAAATGCAAGACACGGTATAAATGATGATGTACAAATGACTAGAATTTGAAAGCTGTGGTATTTTTGTTTCAGTTTCCAGCTAAATGCTGAACGTAAATGTTATATTTTAGTGACAGAAGCTAAACATGGTTACTTGTAGCACCTACATTTTCCTTGCAGGTGACTCTAAGAGAGGGTGTCATTAAACGCAATGTTTGCTATTATTGCTTGAAACATTCTTTCCTAACGTGATCTTTTCTTTTCTTATTTAAACAATCTTGCGATCTAATCATCTTTATATCTAGCTAGTTACATGACAACTGGTTGATACTGCACAGTAAAACTTTACTACAGCAGATTTCAAGAGTCATTATCTATAAAAAAAACCCACAAAACTTCAACATTTTGCTTTCATTAAATTTAATGCAGTTTAATTCATTCTTATCTAACGTCTTAGTATACGCAGAAAGTTATCTCACCAGAAGCATAACTAATTGAATAATGAATGGGCTACAGTATTTTATAGCTGCCATATACTTTCCAGATCGAGCGATTCATGGGCAGACGGTTTAATTTACACCGTAATTTGCAATAAATAAGATGTAATTATAACCCCTTTATGATAGCAACGCAACTATTAATGATGCAAGTTAGAAGTATCTAAAAATAAGTTAATAAATTGCTCTGATGCATGGGCGATAGTCATGAGTACACTGCGATGTTAATAGCAGAACTGTTTTATCATATATTGCAGTGCCTAATAAATATCATTTAAATGAAACCTGTCTGTTAGGTGTCTTGCTACAAAATGAGCATGTTGATCAATGTCCCGGATGAGTGTATAGTATTAAGAAACTGCCTAAAAGAACTTTCCAGTGTGTAGATAAACACATTACAAAATAACCATGTGCTTCATTTTTACAAAAAATAATTATTATTACCTGTATTCAGATAGATGTTCTCTCAGTGTACATGCAATTAAAATACCTTTTATGATTTTCCGACTTTCGTTTGGTGTCTTATAATTCGCTCGAATCGCAAACAAATCTGTTTTCACTCAGTTTAAAAGAACGTGATTACTAGATGAATTAAGTGCTAGTCAATTATACATATTAAATTTATTTTCAAAATTATACATTGTTTCAAATAGTCACTACATTTTATAAATAAGCATCATGACTGTTAAGCTTGTGTTAAATATAGACTTTCCTAAACATGAGTATTTAATTTCGGTTAATCGAGAAAGGCCAAGCTACAGTGATATTGTTGGTTTTTAATTTTTTTTTTTAAAAGGACCATTTATAAATCTTGGATGTAATGCAAGGTTGATTCATAAAATACTGCCTTTGATGTTATCAACTTGCTTTATGAAGCAGAACGTGTGACATTCCATGCAGAGATAATTGTTAACTTCTGAAAACAACACGTACACGTGATTTAGAAAGATGACAGCGACGCCTTGATGCTATATCATAAAAACCCAAGGGAACGAAAACCATCGATTTATCAATGTTCTGTTATAGAAGACCTCAGAACATGGTTTGTGTGTAAGGCTGTGATATATATATATATATATATATATATATATATATATATATATATATATATATATATATATATATATATATATATATATATATATATATATATATATATATATATATATATATATGTGTGTGTGTGTGTGTGTGTGTGTGTGTGTATTCAGTGTAAAACTCCGCTGGAACATAACATTATGTGTATTTGTATTTGGTATAGTATGCATGCTGTAGGTTTGACATACCATACCACTTGAACATTGTTTTATTAAAAGGAAACTCGACAGGCCTCGCCACGACGTTTCCACAACTCGTGGTTTATCAAAATACAGTTCACATACTGTCTGTTTCGTAACGACTGTTTCATTGTTTTGGAATCAGTGACAATATGTAGTTGATGCAATTTTCTGAAAAATATAAATACTTATCGTTACAAAATTATATTTATAATATTATAAATGATTACCTTATTTATTTGTTCAAAACTGCAAACAAGGAAAAAGAGAAAGATAAAAATCCCATTAATTTAAATAGCAAGAATGATAAATATTTTGATATTGGGCATCGGTAAAATAAAATATATTACGAAGTGGGCGAATATATGAAGTCACACAATTTTATTCATTTGACAGACAACCAGGAATCAGGTTCACCAAAGGGTTTAATTCGTTGACATTATATAAAAGTATTTTGATTGGGTATAAAAGTGTATTCGGAACTTTGATGTTTTCGCTGATTGTTATGGATAGCGTGAATACTGAACAGCACTTAGGCAAACTCGCCGCAATTTGTATGCTTATAGTTAGGCGTGATCACATTACAATAATTATGTACAATCACGTCATTTTTCCTGTGCACTGCTTTTGTTGTATGACGGGCATATGTCACAGATATCTTGGTCAATCGTTGATTGGGCAAAACAACACGACATCATTATTTTCGTAATCCTCCTTCACACTAGTGATGTCCTGCAACAACTCGACTCCGTAATTTAGAAAAATTGCAAAATATACAATAATGGGTAAAATTTATGCGAGAAATAATATTATTTGTTTGCTCCTAAACACGCCACATGTGAGATACTATATGGAGCATACAAATTAAATCTGTCTGGTACAAATATTCGAAAATCTTTCTTTTAACAATAATTGGAATCGAGCTTTTCAATCCATCTTCTATAGACTGGGCGTCATAATACACGTTACAGTATTCAACAATTAAGGTGGCGTTCTACAGTTTTGTATTTAGCATAGGGTTAGAATTTTAAAGAAAATGAATTTCCCCGGGTATCCTCACTAGTTATACTGGTTATTTAAAAACGACTTTGTATATCTTAGGTATTGTTAAAAGAACCTTTAATTCCCTTTATTTTGGTGTATGATTGATGGGTGTAATATGGGTTAGAGAGTATACATCTTGGCCTTACTCCAGATATGCACTTTTCAAAAGGGTCCTAGCTCTACTTGCTCTTTTTCACTTCTCTGAATTCAGAAGTAAATTGTAAAAAAGAGCCGATAATTTTTTTACATTTTATGTCTTTGGTAATTCATTCATTACACTTTCAGAAGCTGGTATTGTCTAGTTTGGCAAAATTCATTTTCCCTATTTTAATAGCTGCCAAGAATAGTGTATTATAGACAAATTCAGGTTGATTTTTGGATCACTAGGGAGCAATCAGTTTAGTTACTAGTATCCTATGATCATTAAAAATTTCCAAAAGTACAACATCCAAAGAAATTTCTGCTACATTACATGAAAGTAGCATATAGGTATGCCAACATTCTCTCCACTGTGCATGTTTAAAATGCAAAAAACTTCACCTTACATACATCACTCTCTCAAAAGTACACAATAACTGGTGTGTGCCACCTAAATAACTACTCTGATTAACACAAAATTATCGATGCCATCCATGCCATGTCTCCCCAGAATAGCGAGTGCTTTCTTCCCAAAGATGAAAAAGCGGTAGGTTCTTGAGAGTTTAATAAAATCAAGGAAAACGTTTCACCCTCTTTAAAGATTCAGTCAGATTATATTATGTATAGCTTTTTGACCATGTAATATCAGTAATTGACGCAGAAGAAAATGAATGCTCTGAGTTTGTAGAGGACGGCGAGACTGCTGTGTATACAAATAAGAACAGTATGAAGCCACGAAATACAACAATTATATCGAGTTCATCTGTTGGGTACAATGTTGTGTTGAAGGTTGACATCTTTGGGTCCATATGAAGTATTGCACCGGAAAAGGGTATTGAGGCAGAAAAAGGTCTTCAATAATTGGCCTTGTCATATTGAACTGCCAAGGACATTCATGGCAGTGTAGAGATGATTCAATAAATGTTCACCTAAATACATGCATAATTTCGTTTTTATCAGTTAATATTATTTTTGAACCAGTTTAAAATGTTTTTCATTAAAATTTGTTACTTATTTTCAGTTAAGGAAATTAAGCAGAATAAATATAAAAATATATGAAAATTTAAAATATAAACATTTATGATACATATTAATGTTCTTCATTGTTCCCATTTTGTGTCACCATACATTTCTTACCTAACCGCTCCTGTATCCTAGTGGTTAAAGAGTCCGCCTCAGATGCGGGAGGTCGTGGGTTCGATCCCAGGTCGAGTCATACCAAAGACTTACAAAAATGGTACTAGCAACTGCCTCGCTTGACGCTCAGCATTAAGAGGTTAGTGTTAGGACTGGTCGGCCTGGTGTCAGGATCATTTGACTGGGTGGGACATCATACTACATGTCTGCGGCATGATGCCCCAGTGCTAGACACCACACCACCACACCATTTCTTATCTCGTTTTTACGATAACCCCTAGTTTCGCTGACATCAACTACTACGAAACAGAATATGTTTTAAACAAGGCAAGCTGAATGCAGTACTCATTAAAAAAACTACAGTTGAGTAATTTTCTTCTTAAGGGCTCTGTAACTGATATTCACTTTCTCCCTCTCAATCCGTCTCTCTGTTTGTATTCTCACTCCAAAGTCCTCACCTCTTCCAGATGTTATGTTTGTGCGCATCTTCTGCTAGTAATGATTTGTTTGTTGATTATCTTTACGAATGTCATATTCTAAGCCTCAACCCAGGAATTCTCATCACTTTCGTTGATATCTTTTCCTTTTGTCGTCAATTTTGCCTGTAAACAGTTGTTTTCAGGGTACAAACCTCAATTTTGCATATAGATACTGTAGTCTTCGGTGCCCATACCTCAGTTTTGCATATAGATAAGTAGTCTTCAGGGCCCATACCTCAGTTTTGCATATAGATACAGTAGTCTTCAGAGCCCGTACCTCAATTTTGAATATAGACAGTAGTCTTCAGGGTCCATACCTCAATTTTGCATATTGATATTAAGAAAAGAAATATGTATAATAATCGTCTGCTTATGTATTGCTATGAAAGGGTATTACTCATGTTTTAAGAACTGTATCAGCCGAGAGAGAGAGAGAGAGAGAGAGAGAGAGAGAGAGAGAGAGAGAGAGAGAGAGAGAGAGAGAGAGAGAGAGAGAGAGAGAGAGAGAGAGAGAGAGAGAGAGAGAGAGAAATGGTGTAACGCATAATGGTGTAGATATGGCTACATCTCTTGGGGAACGCTTGGCAATGTGTACGTAATCACTATAATACAATACGAGAGGAATCTTTTCTAGTTTGGAGCAAACAGACTTTATTTATATAATTGATTTAGAAGGATATATAATTGTACATTCTGAAGACACACTTTCTAAAGTCATTATATTGAAAAATATATAAAATGCACATTATACTTTACCTTTGTGCCTACCAACTACACATATTTCTGTAGTTTCTGCATTTTATAATATAGTATAGATTATTAGATCTGAACTAAATCAAAGAGTATACAATAGCTGCGATAATGCAACAATCGCTTTGAAGAAATATATTTTACTCAATATAGGATGAAATACTAATTTTGAATAGATTGCTAAACATTATTCACTTTTAATTAAAGAATATTTTTTATTCCCAAATAAAATCTTAGGATGAAGTTGGTAGCAATAAATCTTTTAACCGTAATTCTAATACAAATATAAATGAATATAAATTATTAAAACCAATTGAACATCCTATTATATAATAATATTAAAATAAAAAGAGAACTCACAAGAACATTGCAATTAGTAAGGTTGCAACATAAATTTTGAGCTTTTAAAAGTATTTTCTTTAAGAAATTTACGAACATAAAAGATTCTTACCTATAATGAAATACGAGAGCAATCTCTTCTAGTTTGGAGCAAGTAGACTGTGGAAGCTAACGAATTGAGCGCTGATTTATAGTAGTTCAAGATACCCCTAACCAGTTTTGGTAAAGACCTGGATAGAAGTGCAACATGCCTGTACTGCATGGTCTAAGCAGGAGAGATCCAGTCTATCCTAATGAAATTGTATATGTTCTGTGTGTCATATTCTGCTTCATCAGCATTACGGCTGAAACCTAGCTTACTAAGTGAGACAGTACTTTTATAATATTTTGCTACTGAGTGTTATTTGCAGAGTCGGCATATACATGTATAACGCAGAGAAGATTTGTACTTTTTGTAGAGGGAGAATCTTTATCAAAATAGAATATAGCTCTAAAAAAAAGTTAATCTGCATATATTTTAATGAAAATTACCCCAAATATAATTCAATGAAAAATGAATCCAATGAAAAGTTAGTTTGAAGACAATTTAGAGGAAATTCAAATGTTATTACTTTTGCTTAAAATTTCTGTTCAAATAAAGACACAGTAGTCTGTCAGTGCCCATACATCAGTTTAAAATGGATACGCGATGACGGAGACTGCCTAGGTATTTATAGATGCAACGTTGGTAACAACCTTTAGCTTCCAGTCCACTACTTTGTCCAATCTCTGAACGTATTCCAGTCTAAATTTACTCTTCATTTTTTTGCGTTTCAAGTTATTTGCTTCAAAAAATAAAATGTATCAAGTAGTCATCATTCTCCCCATATTGTTTAATCTCTGGCTGCAAATCAACATAATAATAATAATAATAATAATAATAATAATAATAATAATAATAATAATAATAATAATAATAATAATAATAATAATAATAATAATAATAATAATAATAATAATAAAAGGTAGTAG